AGTTCCAAACTATAACATTTCCACCACAGTGTTTTACAGTTGGTATCAGGTTCTTTCAATGAAATGCTGTGCTTGGTTCTGGTACTGTGGTCAAATAATTCTACCTTTGTCTATTCGTCAATAGCACATTTTCCTCCAAAATCCTAGCTTTGTCTAGGATGTTCGTGGGCCAACTTTAGTCTTTTCCTCTTGTTTTTTTTCCTGTATAGTAAATGATTCCTCCTGGCATACCTCCCACATAGATCTAATTTGTTCAATTTCTTTCGATTGGAAGGGTCATGCTCTTCCAAATGAGCAACACATACCAGGATTGCTTCTATTTAAGAAGTGCAGTGATCTCTCCATTGGGAACAACAACCATTTACTCAGCCTCAATATGCCTTGACTCTGGACTTGAAACCTTATGACTTTGACCAGTATTGGCCTGGAATCCATCTACAATGTTTGGACCGTTGGACTTTGCTCAACCACTGCTGTTTTGCATTTGAAACTGTTTCAAGCCAAGCTTGTTGAACTTTTGGGGATTTAGTTCCCCCAAAATAAATGTGTGCATCCATATGTTTGCATTCACATTCTCTTTGCTGCTTGTTTGTTTGCTCCATAAACTTCTTGGTGAAGTTTGCAACCATCTCTCTGAGTGTTTGTGGAGAAAGGACATTTTGCCTAGGTAACAGTCTATGGTTCTCCCCATCAATGCCATCTTCCTTATTCTCTCCACTGTCATAGTTAAGTGCTACAATTTGGTAGCAACATTTAGATGTCTCCAATGATCACATCCAAGATTAGAAACTATATGTAACCTTGAGAACTTGAACATTTAGCTACTAAATGATTGTGTCAAGAAAACCTATACTCACCATCATAGTATAATGGAGGTTAGTTGTTAACAACTTAACAAAAGGGTAATAGATATCTGGCTTGAAAATCATACATTGAAATTACTGATCCTCAACATTGCTTCATCACACTCAGTGCAAAAATTGAATGAGGTGCCTCCAAGTTCATGCCTGGGCTCTGCCCTTCTCAATAAGTTTATATATAACTTAGATGAATGGAAGAAATGTTTTTTCTCGTGAAACCAGTCTATCAGGGCAACCTGGTCTACCCAAATATGAGACGGAGCATACTGCCTCCACTTTTGTCTTATAAAATATAAATTATAAAATATAAATTCAACGAATGGAAGAAATGTTTATTAAATTTGCAGATGAGATAAAATGGAGTGATATAACTATTAGCTTATAAAGCAAAAATGAAAACACTCTTAAGAGACTAGAGAGATGGCTAGAAATAACTTTCGCTGTAAAATAGAAGCCAATGAACCAATATATAATGGGGAACATCTGCCTGGAGAATACTACTCATGATTAATTAATAGTAATTAATTGCAAACTGAATCAGCAGCAGATGCAATTTGAGGCAGGAATAGAAATAACATTCCCAAATCAAGGAGAACAACTGTTCAACTGAACTGCATATTGGTCAGACCCTATCTTGAGATCAGCTTTGAGTATCATACTTTTAAAAAGGTTTCAGACAAAGATAATAGTTTAGAGAATGGCAAGAAGGATGATTGTGGAATATGAACCTAAGTGGAATTATGTTCATGGACAAATAACTGGAAAAGCACAACTTTAAAAAGGAAGAAACACAAGAGAAATCATAGCTACCTGTTTTTTCAACTACCTGTAAGGATGCTGCATGATAGGGCAGATATAGAATAATGGATTTAAGTTACAGAATAAAAGAATCTTGTTAACAGTAAGAGCAGTTTATTAGCAGAACCATTCTCCCCTTTACTGGACTCCCCTGGGCTCCCCTTTACTGAACATTTTAAAGCAGAAGATAAGCAACCATAAATGGTACATGTTTGAATTTGGATTTTTACAAAGAGCAATGGATTGGGTGTTAGGATTTCAATAGCCCCTTTCAAGTCCAGAATTTTATGATCACAAATTCTAAGCATCCCATATTGTGTATATTTTTCTGATCCTTTGCAAAATATATCTGGGCAGTTATTACGGGGAGCAACTTCATAGCTGGAAAGATAACATTTTTCTTGCATTTAAAAGTCTCTGGTAAACTATAATTGTGAAATTATAGCATGCTTGTATTTTTTGTAACTATGCTTTTTTCCTATTAGCTCTAATAACAGTTGCACAATGCTGCAACGACTTGAGATGGGAAAATACTTCCTAACAACATTGAGAGACAGACATTAGAAATTGGAAAGGGAAAACTGAAAGTAATTATTGTCTTGAGTCCAGTAACCAGAATCTCTTAGTGAGGCAAGAGCTCCAGTAAATTGGGAAATGACCTTTTTACAAGCAAGATAAAGGTTCAGTACTACAAAGGGAAATATCCAGATTTCTTCCAAACTGACATAAGTCAACCTACTTTATAAACCAATTGATTTTGTACAAATTTGGAACAGTTTCTGAACTGCTGTAACATGTAGACATTTCCTAAGAACCTTTATTTTAGGAGGTTTATGTTCATCTCTTGGGAGAGTAGAAGATGTGACATAGTCTTGTAATTTAAGACTAATACTGATCATTTGGCAAAGTGAACTGGATAGCAGGAATAAAGCCCAGGCAGGTAAGTTAAATGCATGAGTAAAATAAATAATTATTTGGGCCTCTGTCAAAAACTGAATTATAGCAAAATAAAGACTGGGCTGAAGGATCTACTGAAATAGATTTTTTCAGAGCCACAACGTAAAAAAGGAATATAATAGAACATTATGGAACACTCATCCATTAATCAGAAGAGTTATATAAATACAAATTCAAACATTAAGAAATATCATATCCATCAAATACCATGTGGATGCTTAGTGGGTTAGAAAAGAACATAAAACTTAAGTTCTCTCTTGACTTCCCCTTTTATTTTAAAAATCAATTGCAAAAAGTATAATAATACAGAAAGCTAAAAAATAGCAAAGCATCAGGATCTGCAATTCTGTGAACTTAACTGAAAGCAAGTGTGTAATTCTAGAGGGCTGATTTCAAGTAAATGTATTTATAATTGGAATGAAAGAGAAATGTAATTAAATCTGTAGCTGAAATACAGAAATAAAATGGCAAGTAAGACTGACGGCAATAGTAAATTTGAAAATACATAGTACTAGCAGTAGCTTGCACCTGCCAGTGATACAATATAATTGATAAATTATGCCAATGAGTTTTTAAGTGGATGAAATTGCATAATGTCTTATATTTCCTATCATTAAAAAAATCCTCATGATTTCACTCCTTAGGAATTACCCAATAAAACAGGCATGATGATAATTATATCATCAATCCTGCCTTTTATTTGAGATGTGTGTGTGTGTGTGTGTGTGTATGTGTGTGTGTATATAATATATATAATACATACATACATACATACATACATACATACATACATACATACATACATACATAC